TGAAAATTATTAAAATAATTTTTGAAAAATAACGAACGAAAGCATTTTAGAAATTGCTTTCGGTGCAGAAAGTTTTTTGACCGAATTAACTTAAAAAATAGCCTTATATTATCAGGACAGTATTAGCTATAAGGCAGTGCTATGGTATTTTGCCGCCAAAAAAAAGTCATTGCCCAACTGTGCAACCTGTGCATGTTTCCATTCTCGCAATTGAATTGTCACAAATTATATGAGATTTGATTTGCACAACACTTATAAGTTTGCGCGACTATTTAGACTGGCAAACTTGAACAGTCTCATTGTGTATTTTATAAATCCTTCCAATATTGTTCACTTTTGAATTTATAGACTTGAATATTCCCGTTTTAAATATATTTTTTATAATTTTTTGTTTAAATAATTTATTTTGATTTATTAATTTCTTTTGGCATTGTTTTCAAATATTGTAATTGGACAGACTTTGAACAAGGGTGTCATGAAACAATTCGAATGATGGCACAGATGGCAAACTTAGTCGTTTAAATGAAACCCCTTAATAAGACCTTTCATTTAAACGTTCAAACCCCTCGAAAACTGTGCAACCAGTGCCCGTGTTCTGTAACTTTCGAATCGACAATAAATTCGAAAAATTTATAATCGTCTTGTTTAAAACAGGGTGAACACACGTAATTCAAATATATTTTGGTAAATTGTAATGTGTTTAGTTTAAAAATTATTTGAATCACGCAACTAAAAAGTGGAAGACTCTAATCTTTCAATGTTTTTTCTCGCCTCGAAAGTTACAGAACACGAGCACTGTGTATGGTTCCATTCTCGCAATAGAATTGTATGAGAATTGATTTGCACAACACTTATAAGTTTGAGCGACTAATCAATCCGTTCACTGTTGTTCACTTTTGAATTTATAGACTTGAATATTCACATTTTAAAAATTTTTTTAAAATTGTTTGTTTAAATAATTTATTTTTTTATTTCGTTTGACATTGTTTTAAAATGTTTACATATATCGTAATTGAACAGAATTTGAACAGGGGTTTCATGAAACAAGTCGAATAAACTTGCCCACTTACACAAATGAGAAACTTTGACGTTTAAATGAAAACCCTTAATAATAAAGTACTGACAAAATTAACTTCGACATTTGCCAAACTTGTTTTAACACCAAATTTGAAAACAAGTAAAAACATCTCATTTTTAAATTCTTGTTAAATCCGTAGAAAAAAAGTAATATAATAAAATAACTCCCCATAAATATATATAAATATATGAAAGGTTTAATAAACAAAACCGGATTTGTATACTCACTAGAGAAGTAAAGCTTTTCGCGTAGTCAAAGGCCTGACCTGCAGACGACGAAGCATTAATTGCAGGTTTCGTATGAAATAACTCTTAAGGTGGAAGTACACAACACGCGTTAAGGCGGCAACGCATTTTACGCTTTTCAAACTTTTCGCGCTTTTTCACGCGTTATTTTGATCAATCTTTTAATAGTCTTAAACTTTTTTAAAAATCGAAATTTTACGTTTTTGTTTATTTATTTTTGGTGAAATTAGTTTTATTTTAGTTTATTCTTATTCTACACAAAACAAAATACATCAGCTGCCGACGCGTAAAAAGTTGGAAGTTGCTGAACTTTTTGCGGCAGACGCATTACAAACTACAGTGTGTAACTTGTTAAATGAAAATACACTATTTCAACTTTTTTTGACAGAAGCCTATAACGCGATGCCGCGTACAACGCGTGTTGTGTACTTCCACCTTTAATTCCTCCAAAAAAAAATAAATAATTTTCAACAAAAATTTTGTTGGGAGCTGAGGGCTTATTAAAAAAAATTCATACGTAAGAAGACCTATTTTGTATGGACACTTGGTAGGGAGTTATTTAATTCATGTGGGAGCTATTTCACTGCACGATTTTTATTTTACGAAAAAAAAATCAATTTTATTCAGTTTTTATCAGATTTCTACGTTTCATATCTTATTTTTTTTTCATAAAAATATGGGCTAAAATAAAAAAATATTTAAAAAATATGTTTTCAATTAAAGTGTGGGTCAAAAATGATCTTGAATTGTAAGAAAAATAAAAAAAAATTAAAATTTGTATTTAGATCTAAATATTTTACACATTTCCGTCAAAAATATAAAAGTGTGTAGGACAAAGGAAATCGGTTAAGAAAATTTTGAGATATAATTTTTTTGGTTTATCTAGTCAACAAAAAGCGTTTATTTTTTCAATATCTTCCGATATTTAGGGTATATAGTAGATTCTAAAAATGGTAAAATGATCTACTCATCTAGGTCTATAAGAAGCATTATATCGCGTAATGATGTTTTTGAGTGTCACGCAGTGTAATTCTTAGTTTAGGAAGGATATAGTCTAGAAATTATAAAAACAATAAAACATAATGTTGTTTCAAATTAAAATACGTTGTTTTTGAGCACATTATATAAATTAACTTTTGATGAAATTTGCACCGATGTTAGTACTACTGGATAGTAGGATAGACACAAGAACAAAGAGAGGGTTAAAGTTGGACATTTTGGTCATAAAGGGTTTTATTGAAATTAGTGTAACTTTTCACCTATTGGCCCTAGAAAAAATTTTTTAAAAAAATTGTTTTTTTAATTTTTTCAAAAAACTATCCATTTTTTTGCTCAAAAGAAAGCTTAGACAATTTCCTTTAAGGGCTTTATAGTCCCATAATGGGATGCGAGTGGGATATCGGAAAATTTTGTAATTATAAAGTAAATAAATGCAATAAAGGATGGTTTTATGTATGAAAATCACTTGCAAAATGTAAAGCTGTACTATCTCCACTGTATAGTGTCTCTAAAGTAGAGAGATCGACAGGAAAACGATTATCAACGACTTATAATTTGCGAAATTATAGATTAATGGATATACATTTTTAATGAGTTTGTGTCACTGATTCACATTTATTAAAATCGTCCATAATTTGTTTCTTTTAATCGCAAGAAAAACTTTTTAGGCGCCATTTAAAGCCATTTAAAGGGTTATAACTTTGGATCTGGTTGGTGGATTTCCATGATTCACTGTATGATATCTACATGACCTAAGAATATATCTAGTAAATCTTAAATAGGTTCAGAGTTTACTTTTTGAAATATTAAGAAAATAAGAAAAACTAAGAAAAAACTTCCACACTTTTTATTAAAAATTAAGATTTTTGTATATCACGGCTTATCATTGCCTATTAATGTAATAAGGAGAAGTCGAAATAAATTATTTAATATTGTAATACATTTAGCTATTAAATGCGAAAACTGCGTAGTCATAGCTAATTCCGAAATCCTCTAATTCATATTCGAAAATGTATAAAATTTACATTGAAATTCCAATGATTCTATGAAGATATCAGTCTAAAATTTGGAACCTACGTAATTTTAGATTTTTGTTATGATTGAAATATAATTATGTGAATATTTAAAAATAAATAAAAACAAAATATTACAAATAAATTTTAATTTCGTGCGAAAAAATAGAAAAAACAAAATGGCTCCCAAATATGGAACAAATTTAAACGATAAATAATACTGCTCTACATAAATTGTTGCCAAGATAATTATTTTTAACACCCTTTTCAAAATTTTTGTATTATCCGTTATAACGTTTGACAAAATTTTTGTTTAAAATTTTTAACGAGGGTCGCGATATGACAAATTATTTGTTTGTATATTTTAACCAATTTAAAAAATTAGCTTATCGAATTATCGGTATCAAAATATAAAACGGAGAAATCGAACTTATGCCTCAATAATGCAGTAGAGTACATACTTAGTTTTAATATGACTCAAACTGGCTTTCTATCGATGTAGTAATTCTAAAATTACAAAAACGAATAAGAGTAGTAGGTTACTCTTTTCATTTGCCTATAACTGAAATACTAAACGATATTTTGAGTTAAAAATAACTCAAGATTTAAAAGACGTTTTAAGCTTTTAAATAGTGTTAAAAAAGTTTCAGTACGATTAGAAACCTCTGTAAAGCACTTAGTTAAATATGTGTCCAAAATAAAAAAGGAGGTTAAGAGACAAAAATGAAAAATATGGCAACACTATTTAAAATAAAGTAGATATTTTATATTGTATAATAACTAGAGATAAATAATCACGATCGTTTTTGTGTCAAAAATTCTTAAAAACGACTTAAATTGTAAATTTACCAATGATTTGAAAATCACAAAAAGCAGTTCGGACCATGCTTTAGTGTATTAAATTGCATAAAAGTGCATTACAAAGGCAAATTATAAAAAAATACTTATAAATTTACTTTATATTACGTTAATTTACTCTTTAAATGGCTTCAAGTGAAAGTATATACTTATTCAATAGTAATTTTTGTTAACAGTTCACTAAAATTTAATATATGGGTTTTTTCGATAGAATGTACATACATATTCCCAACTTTCGTTTGATACCAATATTAGCATCATACAACACATACATATAAATATTTACAATATCCGTTTGAAATTGTAAGTCCTTTAAACTTTGAAGTCCTTTTACAAGAATATAAGAGCTGATTATAAAAATCGGAGTACGCGGAATTGCTATAAATGGAATCTAGTTTTACATGCATATCAACTTTTCTATATGTGAAAGCGTTTTTCCCAAATTGTTACAGTGTGCTATTTAATAGTACAAATTTAGATTTTTTGAGTTGAAATTGCTCATATTCAAAGATTTAGTTTTGTCGCTACAATTTTAGGCTAATTTATATTATTTAATCAAAAACAATGTATTTTCATTTTAAACAACATTATGTTTCATTGTTTTTATAATTTCTAGACCATATTCTATCTAATTATAAAATAACCAATTTTTTAAATTTTTCTGTACTTTTTTCTAGCAAGTAAAAGTTCGTGCTTTAGTTTTGACCTACACTGTACATATAATAATTACAACCTTATATATACTTACATACATATTTATATACTTGTTTATTAAAAAACCAAAATTTTAACGTTAAATGCTTACAGTCTACCTAATAGCCAGCATGCAGCAGTAGTTTCTGGAGGTGGATTTTTTTCATGGGGGACCAAGTTTAAGTATACTGGACGAACCGAACGTGAAATACTAACAGAGAGTATAAATGCACTTCGTGAACAAAAGCTGACTAACTCATCGACAAGTAAACGAAAAGCCAGCAGTGTCCCAGCAACGCCGTCCAGTCCACAGGGTGATTTGGCGCAAATACGTAAACTATTGAGAAATTCATACATAGCTTCAAACGATTTAAAAAATTTAAATTTACATTCAGGCTATAGCAGTTTACCTCGTTCAACCATGTCTGAACCGTTAAGCAACTGTACTATACCAGCAACAGACAGTCTTAGTAACATTGTTTTTAGCCAAAACCTGGGGTATGACGTGTCCAGCAACAGTGGCATACAAGGACCAAGTCTTGAACCAGTTTCTGAAGAGGCTCGAATGCGTGCGTCGTCGAATTTTGAAAACATCAACATGCTAAATAATTGTAGCAATGCAGAGATGTCAAATTACTATTTGAAAACAGAGGACTCGATATTGTACTCATCACCTGAGTCAGCAGCATTTAATACATATGATAGTGAAGCTGTACCACCGAGAAATTCTGAAAAGAGGCTGAATAGCTATTTTCAACAACAGCAGACCAACAGCACAACAGTAAATTCCTGTTTAAGCACATCAACGACTTCCAAGAGCAACGACAACCCTACGTCTGACAACCATTATACCAACAGTGCCAAAGGTGTACGTAAATTCCATTTTATCAATGCATTCATTCCATCCTTTGTTTTTGTGGTTATTGTAATGACAATATCCGCCATCATAGTACTTGAATCAGACTCGGATACTTTTGAGCAGATCCGAAATCTCCCTGAAATGATTAGTTTACGTTATCAATATTATCAACCCCTTAAGGAGTATATTCTACAAAAAGTTGGACGGAAAACATAAAACGTTGTCCACAAACAATATGATGCATATAAATAATAAATAAAAAAGGGCTTTTCCACTAAATCTAACACTTTGAATTTATTTATTTATTTAAACAAGTAATATAAAAGCCTCGATAGGCCAATTTACTATATTACAATGGCAATAGACCTGAATATATATAAAATTCAAACTATAATATATTATTCAAATAATATTACAATGAATAATACAATAGGTATTTATATAACTAAATAAATGAAATAAGCCAAAAGATATAAAACAATTGGCTCCCCAGCCAAGAATAAAAATCAAACAAAAAATATGAGGTAAGTAAAAGGTCCCAAAATGATGACTAGTTCCAATAAATAAAGATGCATAATTACCAATTCCAAATTAAGAAAATCATTGAACACTCGGTTACTATATATATTTCATACACACCATGTGCAAACAAAATACACCACTAATGAACAATAAGACATTCAAAGTAACCGCCATATTAAATTTCTATAGTTAACGTAAAAAAATCATTAATTAGGAATAAAATAACTAAAATTTGTAAGACAAGTTTGTAAATGCTATATCAAAAAAAAAAAAAATAATAATAATAATATAATGTAAATAAATATTTACAGTCTTATGCAAAAAAATTTACAACATGCTTACTAACCGTTGTTAAACTAAATTCGATAAAAGTATATCCAAAAACGATAATTAGCTTAAAATACCTGTAGTAAACCATTGTTAAATATACGAAAGTTAATAATGGTTCAACCGTACTTTAAACCTATATTAAAGTCAAAGTCATTATTTTATTACAATTTATAACTGTTGACGTTTTGTGAAAAATATTGTTGTGTTAATTTTTTAAATAAATTATAAAAAAATAAATAATTAAAAAACAGTATGGATACACTTTTCCTTTTATTTTCAGGCTTTGTCTCCATATTTTTTCTTTTCTTTTTGGCAAAAATATAAATTTTGTTTATAAAATAGTTTAGTGATGTGTAAAATATCAATGCAAATTTAAAGAAAACGTTACTCGATTACTTTCTTTAATCAAAATATAATATTGCAATTACATTAGTTGTTTTATTTGATTTATACGTTGTTTTTATTAAGTAAACAAATACAACCCCACTTTTATGTTATTAAAAACAATTATTTTATATAAATGCATAAAAAAATAATATTAGACACGAATACCAAATGAACTAATAATCGTTCATATACAACATTATGAAAATATTGACAGTATAAAATAATGGTATTGCCAGCATCCAATCTAAAAAAAACATTAAAATGTATTTTAGTTAAAATACTGTTTTTGCATATACTTTTTTAATAATGGATTATTAAGCTAAAAGTCGTTGTTAACTAATGTACACTTTAAGGTCATAATAAGGATTTTTTTGCATAAGACTGTTACATTATTACAGGAAAACCATAAATAAAAGTAAAAAATGCATTACATTAGGGATGTAACAATATGTGATAACGAAATATAAAGCCGCAAATAACTTATGTACTACAAAAAAAGACAAACTAACCGCCAATAGAAAAATGAGCCAGAATTTTCAGACGAAATGCATTATTCGAATGGGAGGTCAATGGGTAAGTCATTCCAGCATCGGGCAACTCTAACAGCAAAATACCTTTCGAAACAACTGCTCCTGATCCTGGGTATAATGATTTGAGGATAATGAACAGGTATATTTTATGCTGCCACAGTGGGGCAGAATGGAAATTTTTTGGAAATAAATCTGGCATTTCTAAACGGCTGATCCGATCGGGATAAAATTTGGCGTGAGCGTAGCCAAGGAGTATTCGAGTTTAAGTTTTGAAGATGAACCCTGCAGATGCCCCAGGGACGGCGCTGTGGCGGCTAAAAGTAGGGTACCTACGACATGTAAAATTTTTAAACTCGTGCCATTTTTTTTGTTTTTCATCCAAATACATCTTGAAAAAACATGCTTGGATATACTACTTATCTCTTATAATATCCGAGTTATAGGCATTTAAAAATTTAGTGATACAAAATTTACCATACCTTGGTCCGCCTTTTTTTGAATACCGGGCGTAATTTTGGACCAAATGGATTCAATTTTTTCTTGTTAGTTAGACAACAAATAATATACAAAAAATTTCAGATCAATATTATTTACAGATCCAAACATATACGTTTTTTAATTTAAAAATTCAAAAAATTTTAGATTTTTGCCAAAAATGTGTCTTAACTCTTTTATTAATAAAATAAAATTTTCTTTAAGAACATATAACAATTTTATAGTTTTCTAAAAGGTATCTTTTTAAAAATTGTCCAAATATTTTATTCAACACCAAATGTATGTTCTGTCATACTTAATACTAAAATATGAAAAAGATGAAATTAAAGGACACAGGTTTAAATGAACATATTTTTGAATGTAATTGAGATATTGGCTTGAAATTTTTTGTAAAGGGTCGAGAATTTCCATATCTAACTAAAAAATTATATTAAGGGATAAATATGGACTAAATTGTTGTAGCTATCTGCGACCCTATTTAAAATTGAAAAGGTCAAAGAGCATCCCGCAATTCCCAAAAATAGGAATGAAAATCCCCAAAAATGGGATTTTTTACTTTTTTGCCCATAGGGTCCACATTTCTTTCAGGGCTGGGAAAATACTTTTGGAGTAAATAGAAAACATATTGAGGTTTCCAAAACTGCTTTCAGTTTTCTGATCCCAGCTTTGGGATTTTAGAACATGTCGCCCAAAGTTGAAGTTTTGATAAAAAATAGGTCATATTCGGAAGGACGCAGTGGCAACATTTTCAAAAAATAGGACAAGTTTTTTACGCCAAAGCGTTCTGCGTAAAGATACCTTTTAGAAAACTATAAAATTGTTATATGTTCTTAAAGAAAATTTTATTTTATTAATAAAAGAGTTAAGACACATTTTTGGCAAAAAAAAACGGCAAAAATCTAAAATTTTTTGAATTTTTAAATTAAAAAACGTATATTTTTGGATCTGTAAATGATATTGATCTGAAATTTTATATATATATTATTGGAAATTTTGATGTCTAACTAACAAGAAAAAATTGAGTCCATTTGGTCCAAAATTACGCCCGGTATTCAAAAAAAGGCGGACCAAGGTATGGTAAATTTTGTATAACTAAATTTTTAAATGCCTATAACTCGGATATTATAAGAGTTAAGTAGTTTGTGTTTGGATGAAAAACAAAAAAATGGCACGAGTTTAAAAATTTTACACGTCGTAGGTACCCTACTTTGAGCCGCCACAGCGCCGTCCCTGGGGCATTTGCAGGGTTCATCTTCAAAACTTAAACTCGAATACTCCTTGGCTACGCTCACGCCAAATTTTATCCCGATCGGATCAGCCGTTTAGAAATGCCAGATTTATTTCCAAAAAATTTCCATTCTGCCCCACTGTGTGCTGTTGAGTATGGTCATGGGCGTAATTTTGGACCAAATGGATTCAATTTTTTCTTGTTAGTTAGACAACAAATAATATACAAAAAATTTCAGATCAATATTATTTACAGATCCAAAAATATACGTTTTTTAATTTAAAAATTCAAAAAATTTTAGATTTTTGCCAAAAATGTGTCTTAACTCTTTTATTAATAAAATAAAATTTTCTTTAAGAACATATAACAATTTTATAGTTTTCTAAAAGGTATCTTTACGCAGAACGCTTTGGCGTAAAAAACTTGTCCTATTTTGTTGCCACTGCGTCCTTCCGAATATGACCTATTTTTTATCAAAACTTCAACTTTGGACGACATGTTCTAAAATCCCAAAGCTGGGATCAGAAAACTGAAAGCAGTTTTGGAAACCAAACCAACTCCAAAAGTATTTTCCAAGCCCTGAAAGAAATGTAGACCCTATGGGCAAAAATGTAAAAAATCCCATTTTTGGGATTTTCATTCCTATTTTTGGGAATTGCGGGATGCTCTTTGACCTTTTCAATTTTTTTTTGCATTTTCTTATTTGAAATGACAAATTTAACAAGCGTTGAAAATTTCATTGAGTTCTGTTCATAAATAAAGATTTTGTCTTATATTACATATTTGTTAAATTTCTAAAACTATGATTTATATCAAAATTTTAATAGGGTCGCAGATAGCTACAACAATTTAGTCCATATTTTTTTTATCATTTTTTAGTTAGATATGGAAATTCTCGACCCTTTACAAAAAATTTCAAGCCAATATCTCAATTACATTCAAAAATATGTTCATTTAAACCTGTGTCCTTTAATTTCATCTTTTTCATATTTTAGTATTAAGTATGACAGAACATACATTTGGTGTTGAATAAAATATTTGGACAATTTTTAAAAATTATTTAGTTAATTATTTTATTAAAGACTATAACATTGTATATACAATAAAAAAATTATAATTTTATTATGAGCCACGCACAACAACACCTAAATCACCCCACACAAACCACCTTTACCGCCCACCGAAACATAAAACACAATTTAATACAATATCATCAGTTAGTATAATAGCTTTTTTTATTTGAACTGTTTATCTTAAACATAATACAATTAATTCTTACAACCTACTTATATTGTTAATTCCTAACACTACTTATTTGCTATAAAATAATCTGTCATATCGGTACACATATCCAGAAGGTAATATAAGTCCTTTAAATCTTCCTTGTTTTGAGATGATAGAGTTTCATAACAAATCCATCTTTTTCGCATAGTTGAAAGAACAGGATCAGAAGATAGAAGTAAACTATTAAAAATATCTTCATTCTGTGATTGCCTGGAGCATTTTCTTGAGCTGAATAGTTGAACATGCTTAAAATCTCGATTCCTCGCTTCCTGGGTTTCTTCTGTTAACTCTCCAAGTGGAAGAATATTCGATTCAATTATTATTTGACCATGACACAATACTTTGTGTACTGTTGGTGTTAGTTCCCTCCATGGATACAGAGATACAAGTAATTTAGAAATTTCAGATGTATATTCCCCAAATCGATTTCCATTAATTTTATGATTACTATTCAGTGCCATTAAAATAGTGTTAACTCTTCGAAGCAACTCCTTGTCGATACC